TATAAGAAAGCTTATGGCATTCATCCCCAACAGCTTCTCCAAAATCACACTTATTCAATCGCCATGAATGATTTATTTAAAAGCTTCTTAAAATAGATTGAATTTGAATCACAATGAATGTACAGAAGTGCTTCCACAACCTTAAACCAAATTTCTTTCTTGCTCAGATTTTCTTATCAGTGGATTCATCATTAACTCATAATATTAAATGACAAAGTTGTATGATACATTAATGATGAATTATCAGTAGTTATTATAATGTTGCGCAAGGCTAAAAAACCGAATTTAGGTATGTTTACTCAGGTCGATGTAACTTTTGAGGCCTAGAAGAACAATTGATGAAAATACCCTGAAATACTAATGAACACGTGTACTTTAAGATGGTTATGTCAAATAAGCTCTACCATGTCTGCCACATTTCCAAATTCACACCTGATGTAGGCCGATAGACATGTACAGGAAAATTCAATTTGTATGTCAATAACATATTTCCTATTGGCTGTATTCAATTCCAAATGTTATTTTTGAATTCTACACCATCAAATTGGGTAACTCCCCAATTTTTATGAAAATGCAGCAAATAACCAAGGTTTAATTAACAATTTCATGATCCGCTACCCAGCAAATTTTGTTCAAACTACGCCCATTTTTGAGAAAAAAAATAAAACTACAAAGTCCAATAAAATGAAGACTATTAAAGATATAAGTCTGAAATTTTGGATTTTTGCATGTCTCATGTTGGCAAATATAACCTCCAAATTTGAAAGAAATTGGAGACATGTGGTGCTAGCCCCTGGATGAAATGACATGGAATTACTCTTAACACAGTTTCACATTACAGTGCATCTACAGTAGGTGGGGCCACTCGGAGATCTAACCTGCAATCAGGCCTATAAATAAATAAATATGCCTGATACAAACCTTAATTAACAAAAGTCCATGCTGCACAACCGTATTTCGGTTGTAAATCTGATTGGTCTACTATGAGACAAAAGATTTTTTAATCTGTCATTTGATTGGTTGGGGCTGACTAGATTATACTATTGTTGTTGATATATGTTATAGTGATCACAACTATAATTAAATTGTTGTTGTCGCTGTGTGAAATTCAAATTTCTCCTGGGACATTTTGATTGGACACTAAATATAAATTTTGCTGTGGGTGGAAAGCGATCGGGTTAAGGTTTGTGTCAGGAGATTGGGTTTTACTTAACCTAAAGTAAGTGAGGCCTGGGGCCGGTTGTATAAAAAAGTGATTAAAGTTAACTATGATTAAGTGCAAACGTCATCCAATAAGAAGGGCCTATTTGAGAGTTAATCACTATTTAACTGCAAAATAGTGATTAAAAAAGTGATTAAGAGTTTTATACAACCGACCCCAGAACCTTATATATTAGAATAATACCATGTATCAGTTTGGCTGGATATTTATCTATCCTACTGGATTGGATATAACCTATAGATTGGATATAACTATCCAACATATCTTGTATAATTACTCTGTAGGTATTAATAGGTGATACTTGGGCAAACAGTCCACAGTCGATAAGTAAAATTGTCTTCCACGAGACATATATGCCAGAGTTAAATATCAAAGTACTTAAAGTAGGGAGTGTTAGGGAAAGTTGCCTTTCTTTTGCTCCCTAATTAAAATAATTTTTACAAAACAAAAATGTCACACCATCCTTTGAAGACAAACCATACCATCTTAAGGTTGACAAGGCTGTGTGGGAGGGGATTTGTCTTGCGACTGGATAATGATCCGAAACACACTTATCACATGTAAAAATGATTTAAGAAGGAGGCAAGAGAAAGGTACGATCTGGTTGTCATGGGATTTTCCTCCTCAATCTCAGAACCTAAATCCTATTGAAAATTTATGGGATCATTTCAAATGAGAGAAACTGAAACATGATCCCACAGTAAAGACAACACCTGTGGGACGTCTTTAATCAATGCTGGAATAACCTTAAGCCAGCAGTACTTAGAACACTTGTTGAATCTAAGCCAGTAAGAGCTAAGTAGCAGCTAATATAATATCTAGGAGGCTAGTATATCAAAGTTAAATATCAAAATACTTAAGTACTGTAGGTAGTGTTAGGTAGGGGTGGTGTAGTGTGTTCTACTGTAAATGTCAACATGAAACATGGGCATAATATTTAACAAACTGCTGAAAATTGGGCTCACTGGAATGAAATGGGTATAATTAAAAAAAAAAAGCTCAACACCCTTGCCGGGGTGTCTGTAAAATATATAAATTCAGCCCCAAAGGGTATTGGGCTGTCAATTTCCTGTTTGTAATCTAAAATGACTGAAAATTGCAAACTTTGCAAGGCTATATTATCCGCATTTTACAACATTTCGCAATGAAATACTGTATTACTAATTTTGTGATGCTCTTTCAAGCTGTGATGAAATTTTTGTCTGGACCAAAATTTAGTCTATTATGCAAATGGTCAATTGCATACTGCTATAATAAATAGTAACTACCCAGACTTGGGCTTATGCCATGTTGTCGGCTATTATTCGCCTCCTGACGCATTCGAATGAGTGGACTAACAAACAAATGTGTTATTATAGGCCATGTTACGAGTCACTAATATTTCTCTTTGATCTTGCTGCCAATCCCGACCCAATCCCTAACCCTGTTCTGTGCGTAAAATGAACTTAGAACCAACAAACCTATACGAGTAATATGACCATTATTGGATCGGTTTTACAAAGCCAAAGGCATACCTTGATATGTTATTTGCTCGATCAAGAAGAGAAAAATCACTGACAAAATTGCTAGTTTGAACCCGCCAAGACACTCCTCATGCACTTTGCAAACTTTCCAATCTGGGCATGATGAAGCCTGTGAGAAGAAGAGAGAGCCCACCAAGTATATTTATCTGATTAGCCTTTTTGAAATAGACAATGGCATATACAAGATTGTTTGCTTGTGGTTTGTATACCAGAACTGAAGTTTTGATATATTTTCAAAACCCAGCCAGGAACAGTTGTAAAAATGCAACTTAGGTGCTCTGGTTGGAATTGAAAAAGTTGGTTAGAGTGCTGCACTAAAATTGCAGGGCTGCATAATCAATTCCTGCCAGAGGGCATACAGATGATCAAAATACCAGTGTCCAACTAGATTCTGGTCAGAATTGGACATCCACAATTTAATAAACATTATTTTTCTTGAAGTAATTCTCTGACATTTGTTGCAGGTTCCATAAAACAATAAATATAACATGGCGGTTACACAGTCGTAAACTATTTTTGTTGCCATGTGGCCAGCCTAGATATGAAACACAGATTCAAAGATACATAATACCGTCTACAGAGTCTTTAGCTTTGCACTCTTTCAGAAACTTTGTGAAATTGATAAGGTTCTTGCCGGAGTCATCATTAACACCAATGCTTTCAGATTCACCATTGTTCACTCAAATTCGTAGATGCGTTTTACAGCTTTAACTGGATCGTGTATCTGTTGCTGAAATCCCAGGCTCAAAACGTGCAAAGAGAAGGGGGAACTGATCTTAAAAAGAACTTAAAATGGCATACCAAAAGTTTAAGATTATTCTTAAATGGTGGCAAAATGTCAATGTAGACTGTCATCAGCATGGGATATTTGGCAGGCATCCACTTGGATAACCAACCTTTTGATTCTTCCCTTTTTGCCAGCACTGAATCAGTTTGGGACAAAGACTCAAGATGTAGCATTTATGCTCCATAGTTGGCAACACATGTTTCCATAGCTTTCAGTTTGTGATTTATCCATCTTACACCTTTGCTGGTTTTGCAATGCTCTTTTCAAAAATCTTGCTGAACGTTTTCAATTTGCAGTGGACTTTTGATATAGATAGTAAAGCTTGGTCAGAAGATCATCAATTTCATCAAATTCTGAAATAAAATGAAAACGTAAAGTGGAAAACATATTAATATAAGAAAAAAATGTGAAGAAACATGACATCTTGAGAATACATTGCATGAATTTTCAACTTTATTACAAAGTCATCAACAGAGTCTCAATGTTTCGTCTTGTTTCAATGAATCACATATTGTATTCTCAAGATGTCACGTTTGTTCAATTTCTTTCTAAATATATACTTTTACTGGTAATAGGACACCTTAATTTTATTAATGACACACATTGCTGATGCAGTAATGTAAATAAAAAATATATATATAAAAAATGTCCAATACACCTGTTCCTTTAAAAGCATCTTTAACTGCCAGTTCTAGACGATGGTTGAAACAATGAATAATTAGTAGCCAAGGTGAATCGTAGCGAAGTTTGACGCCAATTCCGTTTATACTACCCATATTCACTGACACCCCATCCACGTTTAGCGACGCCAGCTGTTTGGAGAAGTTTTCGATGTCAAAATCAGGAAAGCAATCTTCCATCATCTTTTTCAGGCCGTCTGCACTCGTTTCACTTGGAGATTCAACTGTCAAGAATAGTATTTCCAGAATGCCTGTCAACTCAAAATCAATTGAATGATCAAAACAATGAATAGACATTTCAAGAAATGTTTTATTATATTATAACTAATTACCCTCACTTGAGATAAAAAGGAGATACAGTGCTTCTTGCTCAGCAATACCTTGGTCAGTACTGCCATCTGTTAAGAACGGGAAATAGTGTGTATTTTCTTCAACTCCGCTATCAGATTTTCTTCAAGGTCATCAGCAATGGAATCTATCAGGGTTGCCATGGCATGTTCGTTGCAAAGTTTGGAACTGCGGATCATACCATTCATCTCGTTCAGTGTGATAACATCCTCAGTGTCGCTATAGGGTCTTTCTGAAATGGTTAAATAGTATGCTGTGTTGAAGGGAGTAAGCATAACGTTCCTATCGATCTCCGTCATCTTCTTTAAACCTCTTCCTATCGGCAATTATTTCACACTTTGTGTTGCGAACTCTTCTCCAAGCATCTTTTGATAAAAAAGTTGTTTTGCATACTGATGCGCTCTTCCTTGGATATGCTTTTTTAAACTATCCAACTTGACAGATGTTGTTCCATTCACCCAAGACTCTGAAAAGCCAGCAATTAAATGAATTCTGGTTGAAAGTTCCTTGTTTGCCATCTCCACTTAAACTTTTTATCAAGTTAACGCTTAAATCACGTTCCCAATTTTCTGCAGTCTTTACCTTGGCCATCGTTTTGACACTTATGTAGTATTTAGTGCCACGTTCTGAATAAGGCACAATGTGGGCGCAGAAACCACAAAACGTGAGTAAGCAATATTTGTGCATGAATGAATATTGTTGCAGTTAGTGTTAGAGAAAGTTAGAGTGATTTTAGAGATCGTATGGAAAGTATGTTGAATTTGGTTAGTTGATTGATTGTAAAAGATTGTTTGAATAAACGAAAATGATTTTTCTAACTTTTCTTATAGTTTAATTAACCAAACTTGTGTGAAGGATTTACAACAATCGTGCATCGATAATTACTTGTTGTGCCCAAATGTTTTTATGAACATAAGAGCATGGCTATTTTTAGGATTTCATTGATTTTGGGCACTGTGATTTTCGGGCTACTCTGGGGGCTGTTCTTAATTTATTGTAAAATTATAGAAATGTACTCCATGCTCTCACATTTGTACAAACAACACAACGTGTGACAAGTAATTATTTAATTGTTGTTGAACTTTGAACTTCAACTCTGATTTTTTAACTCGCTAGTTGACAGCTGTGACGTCTTAAAATATCAATTACCTAACATGCCACAGGACTCAAAAGTGCGAAATACTTGATTTAAATGTCTGAGACATTCCAATGTCTGAGAAACACGCTACAAAATTCAAAAGTGCAAGATACTTCATACAAATGTCTGAGGCATTTCAGTGAAATGAAAATGAGATACATTGTTAAATGATACATCGCTAATTCAGCTTCACAACTTTTACAAAAATTGTTTTGCAATTTTTCACAATATTCAAGATCTCTTACAATTTGCGATTTGCAAAGCGTTAATTCAGACCCTGGGTACTATGAGCAAAAACTGCAATATGATGAAAGCAACAAGTATTTCGAGGTATCTTTTTGTGCATATTTTTTTCTATTTTGATGACATAACCACCACCGTTTTTTTGGCATTATGACATAATTATTTTGGAAGCCGACATTTGGTAAAATATTTCTTAATCTAGTGAAATTTGAAGAAAATTTTGATGACTGCTGAAACACACTGGTTCATTCAACTGAATATACATTTGAGCAGATACAACTTCATACTACACAGCAGAGTGCATGTAACTTATGTTGTATGCTAGTATATCATGTTGATTATATCATGTTGATTGTTCATCATGAATGAATGAATGAATGATTTATTTGCCACATACATATTATTAAAATTTACATAAATTAGGAGAATATAATAAAGTGGTGAGGAGACCTAATGAAACCATCAGGCTTATTTTGAGATCACCTCAAGATATTAATATAACTGAATAATGCTTATATAGAAAATATAGGGATATAGAAAATAATAGATATTTAACTCACAGCTGTAGTGCATTTGTGCGGCACAAACTAATTAACTAGAAATTCCATCATAGTTTTCTTAAAACGATAGAGGCTAAGTGAATCTTTTATATTTGTTGGCAGCGAATTCCAAATTTTTGGTCCTTGATAAAGTATTGTAAATTTTTTGAGGTTTGTACGACAAGTGTGGGTGTGATAGTTCATTGCTGATCTAGTGTTGTAATTATGTATTTGATTATTGCATGTGAATAAGTACCCTGCGAGCAGAGCCTTATTTTCGTTTCTTCGGCGAGGGGGAAAGGAGAAAATAAGGCTCTGCAGTATTCGTGTTTTGCTTCCATTGCGCATGCTCTGTCGGTTGCCTAGTTACAATCTCGTACCCAGTCAAAACCCAATTAAACCGTGTATTTTGTTCCTGAATTCCCGCCAAAAACATTTTGTCATTTTGAACGATATTGAAAATGAAAAGAACTAGGATACTGCCTAGTACTCCCAAAAAAGTGTTTAGTAAAAAACGTGTTCCTCATTCTCCCCAATATGCCTTTAAAACAACGAAAACGAAAAGTAGAGCAAAACGACTCGTTTTGTCTCTGTTGCGGTGTTTGCTTGATCAGCGCAAAGAGTACTTTCAATGCGTGTACTTGCAAAGGACTTTTGGATAAACTACAAGAACTTATACAAACCTCGATAAATCTGAATATATGTTCTACAAGGGTTTGCAAGCCATGTTACCGGAAAGTGTATTCTTTGCATACAAGATCGAAAGTTTTGCAAGTTGATTTAGAACAGTTTCGAGGTAGATTTTTAAATAGAACCGACGACATCAATGGTGACCCAAATAAACTACTAAGTCCTACTTAAAAAGGGCTGCTAAAGCAAGTCCTTTTCGTCAACGAAAACGGAATAGAAATCTTTCGTTCGAAAATATCCCTGTTCTGGATTGGAACATTGATGAAGAGAATTTTGAACAGCCACGAGTCCCCCAGGATATGCCAAACTCAGGACGAATTCTCTGTTGAGGTATTAATTAAAGAATATTGTTAATAAAATCATTAAATCAAGTTTGTACAGATCTTGTGGGGTTTTTTATGTGGCCTTATTGATTGAAAATGTAAGATATAATCCAAAAGAAAAAGGTATGAGATAAAATGGCGCATATAATAAAGTCATTTGTTGTTGGTTCCCATAAAATCCGGTTTACAACAGATTATGATTATGTCTCCAAAACTGGGAGACAATCTACAAGAGCTGGTTGTAGACATCATGGACACTGAGTGTCAAAACATTTGTATAGTTAATAGTAATAGTATACTTTTAGGGCACACCACTAGATTTTGACATGGGTAATTTTAATGATGGACTTAAAGCCAAAGCACCAATAACAACTAGTGCTCTGAAAACCCTGTGCACATCAAAGAGGACAAGGAATAAATGTTCCCTAAAACAAGATATTGTCACATCTACTGTTGCTGCAGTGATCCTTCACAGTCGTTGTCCTGAAATGTCTGCAGTTGCATACAGACTTGGTTTTATATGCAGGCATTCTGGAGCTGGAACCATGGTATGTTGTTGTGTTTGTTGGTGCGAATTTTGAAACACAACACAAACATATTTTGTATAGTATCCAAGCAAAAGAAAACAACAAAATAAAGCTCTGCTCGCAAGATACGTTTTGGGACCAGCTGGTCAAAAGGCGACTAGCATTAACACAGGGTTAATAAAGTTAACCAGCTTTTCAACAACCAACCCATGTTAAATCACCAAACTATTATGCTAATTTATATTTTATATATCTATTTATTTATAAGGGTTTAGACACATTATACATACATGGACTGACTGTTGCCCCAGTTACACTTAGAAAGAAAGCCAGTCAGCTTGGTGCTATTTGTGAGCAGCAGGTCCAGGAATGGAAAAAAACGTGAAAATACTAAGCAAGATGAGACATGCCTAGTTGTGCTCAAAGATGAACTTCTTTCATGCAATTACCTTACACATGCTCCCACTATCAGTGACATGACAAATCACACAAGTACTGGTGTTGAACAGGAAAACAGCAATCAATGCAACGTAAACCATGCCACCAATACTGAGGAGTTCCAAACAATTGATATGAGTGAACTGTACTTTTCTTTTCACTGTCCAGAGACTGTTATGTATAACATATCTGCCAATTTAAGGAAGCAAGGGGTTGAAAGAGACATCATGTTGAATGTTTTTGACAATTTGAAACAGTTTGGAAATTCTGATGATGCAAACTTACTAGATGTAGTCAACAGATATCATCAGCAAGCAACATCGCCTGTTTCTTATCAGATTGTTGGCGACAATGTGGATTTAGAGGTTAAAGTTCGACATATGACCAAAGACAACAAAAACAAATCATTCCACTGCTTTAACCTGGTTGCTTTTGAAGATCAAGTTTCAGGAAGTAAATTGCCAAACAAATATGAAGTTAAATTAGCTGATGTTCCAATCTCAGATTTTATTCCATCTAATTCCGACATTATCAAGCTGAAGCAAGATTATATAGTACTATGGTCAAGAGTCATTGTTAAGTATCTCAAGCAGTTTTCCTTCTTACGAAGTGCCATCATCAAGCACATTCCTCATGATTACAGTGAAATTATGGCCAAACCAGTTGCTGAGGTATATTGTGATGACACATTGACACTCAAATTAGTATCGAGTGTAATATAGTTTTCCCATTGAAAAAAATCATTACCAGTAGGATATACCCACAGGGTACAGAGCACCTGCACAAGATGTTATAACCTTGTTATTCTTTTTTAATAATTTGGTTGTAATAATCTGGCTCTGATCACATAGTAAATGGTAGCTAAAATTTCAAATTGTAAATAAAAATCATTTTCATGTTAAGATACCTCTTGGTGTGATCCCAAAAAATGAAAGCAAAAACGAAGACATGGTGGACATTCTTGAAGTTATCCAAGATAAGTATGTTCCATATCATTAAGTTAACCAGAAGAGTGATGATCCCCAGCAAGTTCCAACAGATGTAATGTTTTTTGGTGGTGATCAGCTCACAGAAGAACGGGCTCGAAACATCCAAAGAATGAAGATTGGCATGCTATAAGGACTGCTTATAAGGTTTGTCATTAAATTAAAAAAATAAGTTATGAGAATTGTATTAAAGTCATCAGCCTCAAATTCTCTCATTTACAATTACAGTACGTTAGTACACAGTAGTCCCTCATTCTGCTTTTAATATAAATCTCATCAATTTAACTATTGAGAATTGGTAAGAATTTAAGTGCAATACTATAAACATCGTTAATATACTAGTGCAATACTATAAACATTGTTAATATATACAAACGAATCATAGAAACGTAAAGGAAATATATTAAATACTCTTTCAAATATCTTCGTACCTGCGGTACCTCATAACTGTGCTTTGATTTATGCCGTATTGTAACAATTACACCGGCAGAATCAGCTGTGCGAACATATTCTTCCGTTAAGGCGGACAAAGAATACCAGGTGTCTTTGGGGAGAACATAGTTTTCTTTTGAGAACATTGTTTTCGTTTCAACTGAATCTTTGAAAAATTTGAAGAACAATCACAATGTTCAACTGTGCACCATGTTGAAATGTACAAGCATACCACAGGCATATTATGTGATATTTATGAAACTGACATGAAATTTTGCAATGCCCATTCGAACCAACTTCCTGTTTATAGGATAAATGATATTATATTCTCGATTATAAAGTTACAATAATATAAATAACCACAGACTAAGGTTCTGCTCGCAGGGTACCACAGACACATTTCATGGCAAATATATGTTCACATATTAAAGTCATCTGGAGTTTTCTGGGCAAATGGAACTTCCTCAATGCATACATTTTCGGGGTAAAGAGTTTTTTAGCATTCAAACTGATGCTTTTTTAATATCGGCCGCTAGGGAACACTTTGGAATGGAAACAACATCAAGCACACCTACAAAAAATTGTTTTTCCAAAGAGCTGTGTAAAATGAGTATAGGAGACAAGAGAAAGTGGTTGTTTGATCAGGCTGCCAAACTGTTTGACACATATGTCTCTGATGGTGTATCAGACCTCAGTGAAGCAGGTAATATTGCTCCAGCAACATCATTTCCATGTAGGTTTGTCTCATGTTCCAGAGTTTTTAAGTATGCCAAATGCAGAATCAACCATGAAAAGACGAAGTATCATCTCACTCTGAATGAAAGTGTATCCAACCAGCAAACTCAGAACACAGAAAGAATACCAGAAGGCAAGGATGATTGTATATACAATTATGGCTGCCTTAACATTATCCTTGGTCTTATGCTCAGAGATGCCAAGGATTCGGTACGAGAGGGGGATGGTGAACGTCTGCTGCGGGTGTGGAAATATCTTACATTCATCTTCAGGGTAACTGGATGTTATAAATATGCGCTTGCTGGACTGAGACTCATTGCATCTGTCAACAGCCTTTTATCACCACGTCAGGCACACAGATTGACCTGGAACAGGTTTGCTGGTGTAAAGAATGGACCTGGTAAAAGGATATCGAGAGATCTAAGGGTTGAGCAACTTAACAAAATTGCCAAAGAAGAAATACGAGCATTAGGATACCCAAACATTAATGATGAGAGTGTAGTCAAAGCAACAAAAGTTACAGCAGCTGTAGAGAAAATGATTAATGCATCAAAAGATGAGCTCAAACTGAAAGAAAAGTCTGGGCAGCACTGCAACCGTAAATTGGGAAAAGACTTTGAGACCATTCTTCACCAAGTCAATAACAAGGCAAAGGTATAGCTAGATATAAAAAAATCAGAAAACCTATATTTTCACATAATACATGCAACACAAAGTTACACACGTGTTAGGTTGTGCGTTTGTGGTTGTGCTATTTGAAAATTTTGCCTGATTACCTCCACTAATTCACTAAATACAAATGTAACTAATATTAATGTAAGTCCATTAATGAACTCAGTTCAATTACTAAGGGGCTGGTTATATGATCCCGCTTACCCGAGATTCAATGAAGCATGATATCATTTTGAGGTATTGAAACAAGTCTCATTGAATCATGTATAAGACCAAATGAACAAATCTTAGAATAGAAAATACTTCTATATTGGTCAATGTAAAAAAGAGATATTCGTAAATATTTAACTTTTCAATGACATTTTGTCCATGTAACATTTGCACAAAACATGAACTAAAGCCATCGTGATTTAAATACGTTTCCCAAATCATGAACTATCACTTATTTCAATACCTCAGAATCATTTCATGCTTCATTTAATCCCGGGCAAGCGGGATCATATAAACAGCCCCTTACTCTTGGGCAAACATTGTAAAATAGAATTGTTTTAATATGTAAAATAATATGTAATTCATAATGGTAATGTACTTGATGATGCTGTCATTAAAGACATTAGTGATGAATTGAAACATGTGTTCACCAAAGATTATACTGTTAATAATTTCCCAGTTTTTAATGAAAAATTAGCTTATCAGATTTTAAGTGTTATGCAGGACATATTTATGGATATAAATGACATTGATCTTACTTACCCTCAGCACACAGAATTGGATGATAATGACTTTTATTTCAGTAATGTTCCTGCACAATGTTCAGATAGTGAAAATTCTGAATGACTATAATTGTAGGTATTGTACATAAACAAAACAATAATAATATGTAATATATTACATCTATGTAATGTATATATAGTGAGTAAAACAATTTTATAACACTAATGCAACCTTTTTACTACTCGTACATCTTGTATATATGACGATTCTGTCTGTGCCACTGATCTTTATGCTTCTTTTGTTTTCTTTGTTTAAATCACCGTTTAAATAAGTGATTATTACAAGGTTTAAATAAGTGATTATTACTATAAAAACCCCCAGCCAAAACTACATTATACCTAGAATATCAGAAAACAATTACAGAAATACTCAAGCAACAAGCACACAGGCCGCCAAGAGAATTCGCGGGGCCCGGGGCAAATCTTTTTTGGGGGGCCCCATGACGTAATTATTTTTAAGTAGCAAAAAAATATAAACTGCGCTAATATATACAAATATTCAATGCATTGCGAAAATTTTTATTGAAAAATCTTTTACATTACAAACACTATGAATATCAATAATTGTCAATTGTGTTCAACTTTTGACATATTTTCCAAAAAGCAATTAAAACGATTTTTTCTTGCCTTTTCCCGAGCGAATGTGCTAATTAAGTCCTCATAATCAAGAGTTCTTGCAAATTTGTGCTCTATAGAGAGTAACATGAGGCTGCTCAGCCTCTCTTGCGACATTGTTGACCGTAGCCTGTTCTTAATTAGAGCCAATTTGCTAAATGACCGTTCTCCGGACGCTACTGATACTGGAATAGACAGGAATATTCTCAAACAGATACAGATCTGAGGATACAAGCATTCAAGCTTCTTGTCATAAATGTGGTTCAGAATACTTAAAGCTCGATTTCTTTTTGTTGATGTTCCCAAAAGTTGGAAAAATTTAACGAAATGGCGAAGCTCCTCCTCAAGGTCATCCTTGACAATATCATTGGGATAACTATATGCAAGGCATTGTGCTTGTTCCTGGATAACTTCTGTATTCGGGTCAGTGGGGGGATTGACGATTACATCAAAACGGCGTGCAACCGTATCAATGACTTTATATCTTTCTGAAAGCTGTACCAAAAGACTATCCAACGCTTTGTAGTAGATATTTATTTTGAAGCTTTCTTCAGCCGTCATTGTGCGCGATCGTTTTTCTTTTAAAGTGGTCCTTTGCCCCAACGAAGAAGAAACTAGTTTTGCCTCTTCCAGAACGCTTTCCCACGAATCTCTAAGATTTTGTACATCATTTTGTAATGACGAAAGATGCTTAACTCCATCAGCGATGGAAATATCTGCATACTGTAACACCTTGTTAACATCGTCAATACACTGGAGAACTTTGAACCAAAATGTTGCCATTAGAATATATTCAAATGACTTCATCCATACAAGTAGAATTTCAGCATCACTGTAGCCCAAATCGGTCAAATCAAGGTCTGTTTGAATTTGAGAAAGGACCTCGAGCAGTTTGATGTGATTCTTCACTAAAGCATGTACGGCATCTATTCTTGCACTCCACCTTGTGTCCGATAGGCCATGCAGCGATACACCAGCTGTTTCTTTGAGAATTTTCCAGCGAGCAGGACTGCCAGAAAATAAATTGTAAAGCCTTTGAACATTCCTGAAGAAACTTTTGATTTCGGGAGCAACTTCTGCTGCATGAACACCACATAAATTTAAAGTATGAGCACTGCATGGGGCGAATATTGCTTGCGGAAATTGGAAATAAGCATGTCAAACTGCCTCCCATAATTTATCTGATGCATTGATTCGTGGCATTAATGGCATGTATGTAGATAGTAAACAAAACTTGTAACATATTGTTTAAATTCAGAAATAGATAATTTGAATTAACAATTTCGTTCTCCATGCTCACTGGACACTTTGTTGTTTGTTGTGTGACGTCCACAGTAAGTTGTTAGTTACTATATGATTTTCTCCAAGATTAAGGCTTGAACTCCCTTCCATCAACAATGAGACCATAATAATATGACTTCTCTATCTCCGTTAGAATTTCAGTGAGGACCTTCTTGGCACAAAGGGTTATGAACTCGTTTTGACTTTACCAAGATAAATAGTGTGCTTGCATACGTTCTCCTTGTTGCTGATGTTTTCTGACTGTGTCCAAATGATTTTGAATGGTCGAATCATGATTAGCAATGAGTTCCAAGCTTCCTAGAAATAGACCATTTTCTGTTCGAACCCCTGAACGGAAGATTTCTTTCGGCCAAGTGAAGTGTCACTTGAAGTAAACTTTTCACTATTTCACACCATCTTTCTTTCTCTTTGACGAGCTTGTGTTGTTGCAAGCTATCGACTCCTTTGCACATCTCCAAAGATAAAACAAGATCTCTCCATTTCATATAGTTAGAAACATGTGAGAAACTTTTTTCATGAGACTGAGTTTTCTCATACAGTTTTCGCCAGTTATCATTGCAGCCTAATTGTGGATGACTAAATTCAGATTGCGTTGCCGATGCAGATTTTCTCGCGAATAAGCAACAACAGAAACAGAAAAGGTTTTGTGTCGTTTCACTCCATACAAGCCAATCTCTTGCCACTGTTTCGCCACTGGGCATAACTTTTGAAAATATGCTCATCGGAAATGATCTGCTCTTGCTATCTTTTGGTAAGATCCTTGGTGGTAGTTGCGGTCCCATTTTGACAAGAGTCCCTCTCACTGGCAGAAAGACTTCTCCAACTTCCTACATCATTGCTAATTTCAGTAATTTGAACCGTGGATTCAGTACTCGTAACATTTACTGACTCGCCATTATCTGCAGATGATTCAGGATATTCATCGGTTGACGATTCCTCGCTCGTCTTATCGTGCATTAGTACATCTGTCGAAGTCAGAGCTAGACAAATAGTCGACTCAGTAACTTTACAATTTGAATAATCGTCGCAACTACTTCCGGCGACAGTTATTGCTTCTTCAGAAGTAGCTTCATTGACATTGATTTCAAATGCGTTGTTCTCACCTGAATCAACTTTATTGTCCGATCTGCTATTACTTGGTTCAATCGGAAGGTTATCTTCTTTTGTAATAGGATTTGTAGCTAAAGACGAGCTCGCGGACATAGGTTTAGAAGATGGCACCGCTTTTCCCCAGTTGAGTTGATCGAACGTACGTTCACCTCTCTTCTCATTTTGTAATCGCGCCTCTTTCTTCTTCCTTTTAGACGACCCAGAAAGATATTTTCTTTTTATTGTATTTTAATTCATTTCGAGGCGTGCTATCTTTGATACCAAGATTTGATTCACGTGTTTTGATGTTTACGCACAAGAGACCATTACAGTCAAAATACAAAAACCTTCTCACTTCCGCTTCTGTAACTTGGTTTGTACTTTTGTAATTTGTTCTATTTTTCTGCAGCGATTACCGTTTTATCAGCAAATATCGCGGCAGAATTTCCCTTCCTTTCCTTAATATATGTCAATTTGTATTTCACACTTTTCGTTAAATTCTTTGCATAAAAGTTGCAAAATTGTGATTTTAGTACGTCAAATGATTGTAGCTGGTAATTTTAAATTTGTTTTGTATGAGCACAATATGAGTGGCAGTTTAAAACCAATTTATCAGCGCAAATATCGCTATAAGATCTAAATTTTGCTACTTTTATACAAAGAATCTAACAAAAGATATATCCCTTTCAAGTCTGTACAACTAGACCCACCATAAGGGGCCCTCAGTTTCAAAAATGCTCTTCTGACCAATGTAAAGAACCTATTCAATTTTAGGCTCGCTCTCTCAAGTTGGGGCCCTATTGAGGTTGGGGCCCAGGGCAATTTGCCCCCCCTCTACCCCCCTCCTCCCCTCTCGGCGGCCCTGCAAGCACATGTTTACTTTAGAAACTATTAATTAAGACCTATGACACGAACAACTACAATGTAAGGACCATGGCATTTCTACATTAACTCATTAACTGGCAAGCTGTTACAATGTTACCACCCCCTAAAGTGGCAAGCAATATGGCGAATTCATGATTGAATTCCAAGCTTTCACCAAAATGGCAATATCTCAGAAACAATTGCATAAAAAAGTCTGATCTTTTCAACCAAACATGAATGATATATGATTGACCAAATTTAGTTTAGATGACCTTGCATACCTATATATATCATTAGTTTTTTCAGTCAGTATTTTTATTTATAAAGCAGTGACACTTTGTTTTCCATGTCACTCATCACCTAAAGGGGCAATATCTCCATAAATTTATATAAAAACCAAAAAAAAATCATTTACTAAATTAATTCATATCTATATTACAACCAATTTTCATCTTTTGGGATATGAATTATGAAATTATCAAAAAATTTAAAAATTACTTCTTTGCTTTTTTGGGGCATCTTGTTTACAACATGAAATTTATAACAGTAACTAAGTGTTCAAGTTCAACAAAGTGTGCAAGCCAAAACACAGTGTTTGTACATCTTTAAAGTTTTTTGATTGCTTCAAATATATTTAAAAAGACACATAGTGCTTAAAATTATTTATTTTAATATAAACCAAGGATGGGAAGGTGAGAAAATGGGAATTTTCTGAGGTGTTTTTAACACAGACAATGACAGCCGACATTTTGAAAGGCACTCTGCGGTGACAAAACTAAAAGCTATTCACTTCTGTACTCAAAGCACTGAAAAGCATCATAAAGAGAAAAACACTTTAAACACATGCCAGGTAAGACTTTTAGCTCAATATTTTCATGCTTCTATTGGGAAAGCAACGGTTTAAAAGCCAAAATTATTTTGCGCGCCAATGTAGGCTGCTATAAAATGTCAGACAGGCGGTTTCTTTTGAAGTCTGGCTCTGAAAAACAATCTCTTTTTTTGAGTTTGAAATAAGCCTTCATAAGGACTATTGTGTAGAAATGTTATCTATATGCTCACATGAAAAAGATAACCTAATATTCAGGTATTCCACATAGCTATAAAAGGGTGAAATAAGAAATTTCATCTTTGGTTGTTTGTCAGACGTGAGAAACCACATTAGTGCCATTTTGTCGCGCGTGCTATTTTATAAAATAAACACCTCAAAACCATAAACCTTTAGTTCAGAAAATTACAAAGTTTCCCATAGACATTATTAAAAAAGTTCTAGTGAAGCGATTTCATGATAAATAAGTGAGCAATGGGCCCAAAAGAACTGCTAAGGTTAGTTTTTGTTAGGACTTCAATTTCATGGCTTCCCACAAAGGAAGCCATTTCAGAGGGAAGCAACATTTTGCAAACCACCATCGCGACCTATTTTGATAACTTTTCCTTCTGATTCAACGTGTAGTTACTAGAAAATGATGTTGCATCAACATTATTATCTGCTTTATCGATTTAAAGTTTTATAGGGGATATAAAAAACAGTAAAAATGCATTTTGAAAGCTTTACAACTCATGTGCGGACTTTTTGAATATTCGCACGCGGCAAGCAAGCGCGTTTATTCAATACACTTATTTTAAACCACAATACGTCTGAAACGAGTTGTCATTTTAACACTAAATTGATGAAAATAGATATAACAGTGATTTTGGAATATCCTACTTATTTAGTGTAATTTAATACTCTAAGTATTCTTGCCAAAAAGGTAAAAAAGATCACATACGCACACAGTAAGTGTCGTTTGAAATATACTTTAGCTAAAATAACAACTTGAACAAGAATACCAACAATGGGGTCACGAAAACAGTCAAAATTGCGCCCAAATTTGCATAAACAGTTCGTCTAAAAAGATAACTTTAAACTAGATTCAACCAACATTAATGCGGTCGAATTTTGTGAGTGTTTGATCGCATATTTCTACTCAAAAATACCCTTTAAAAATCGTATCTGCTCACTTGAGTTCCGTGTTCATCTTTCTTGTGATTTCCGACTTCTATTTTTAATAAAGTTTGGAGAAATCCTCATCTTTTTGGCTGAAAATCTTGCGCATGGTTCACAGAAGAACTTGGCCCCAAA